AGCTGCCTGCCAGGGGGGGTCCTGCTGAAGAGGCAGAGGTGGCCAGCCACCCCAGACTGTCGTGTGGCGCTGCCCATGAGCTCAAGCGTGGTCCCACACCAAAAGCCCCCCCACGCCGTGGGAGCTGACGCTGATATGGTCAAGGAAAACCAGGAGCAGCGCGACCCACGGGGCGAGTAGGAAGGGGAGGGCCGCAGTCCAGCGAAGGCTGCGACGGGCAAGCCCCGACGGCACGGGTGGGGGACACCCGCCGGGCCAGAGGGGAGAGGCGGGGGGCGCAACGACACGCCCCGCGGCCAGAGCCTGCAGCCGAGACCTGGGGTCGAGGCCAGTCACCTGGTGTGCCCGGGGGTAGCTGCGACTCGCCGAGAGCACCTGAGTGGAGGAAACGGGGGGTGCAGCTGACCGCCGCAAGAAACCATTCACATCGTGGGGGGCGCAGCTGACCGCCGCAAGAAACCATTCACATCGTGGGAGTGGACCAGCAGCGGGATGCGCTTGGGGGGGTCCTGATGTGTCGCAGCTGCTCCCCGCCGGAGCTGAAGCTGCCAAAACTGGGGCCTGAGACATCAAGCCGGGCGGCGCGTAGGGGGGGCTGCTTCTGTCGACTTCCCCCTGTCGCCGAAATGTGGGTTGCTGTCGCAGCTGGACAGCAATCGTGGGTGGTGCGCAGGGGGGGGTGCTTCTGCCGACGACCCCTTGTCACCAGAGGGAGTGGCTGTCGCCATGGGACAGCACAGTAAGTGGTCCAGGGACTGGTCAGCCCAGTGGGCTGGTCCCCTGCTGAGAAGGGGGTGAGATGTTCGGGATAGGGTCCACGTCTCCAGTGTGGGCTGTCCAGCTATGCGGCGCATTGGGTGAGATGTGGGGTGGCCCCCGCCCCAGCGGGTGTTGCCCTAGGGTATTACGGCCAAGGCCGGGCGCTGCGAGGTGAAACAGTCCCCTACGGGGAGTGCGGGGGGGAGGACGTGATGGTCGACTGGAGGAGGTGGCGTAGGCCACTGGCCAGGAGGGCTGGGGGTGCGCTGACAGGCTGGCTGGGTCCTGCTAGCCCTGGGCGCGCGAGTCCTCCCTGCCCCACCGTCGGGCGCGCTTGTCCGCGTATCGATCGTCCCCCCTGGGGGAGTAACGCTTACCTTTTCCTTTCCAGTCCGTGTCCGTCCATGGGGCTTTCCGGCGGCCCCAGGAGTTCCACTCCTGCCAGTCCTGCCACTGGCTGGGGGTAGCAGAGCCGACGGCACCTGCCCATCGGTCACGCACGGCCGCCGCAGTGGCTGACCTGCCCTCTGCCGTCCATGGGGCGGGTCTACTGCTGCTGTCGGGGCCGCGTTGAGCATGCGCACTGGTGGGGATATTTTTTTCGTTGGCGGCTCCCTGGCGAAGGTCAAGAAGCGGGTCATCGAACGGGGCGCGAACCGAAGATAATTTGCCGAAGAGGCGCATGCACATGCAAGGAACAAAATGATCCAAATTAAACACCGAAGTCCGGCGCCGACATCCTGGCGGGTGGGGGCGCCTCGGCACACGAGCAGCGGCTACGGCGGTACAGCGTGGAGAAAACGCCGTGTCGGCGCCAATCTCCGGCCGAACGACACACGGAAGCGAGGCCGAGAAGGGGACAAGAGCGAATGCGGACGCCAGTCGGAACACGCAGCGTCAGCGAGAAAAAGAAAGCCGGCACAGAGAACGGCCTCACTCACCATGGACTCTGGCGCAGAACTCGGCTGAAGCCCGTCCTTGCACATGTGAGGAAGTCGACCCCGTCAGCGAACACGAGGTGGCGCCACCTCCAGCCAGTGGCCAGTGCGTACACAACGTATCCGACTCTCGCGGTTCGGGGGCACAACGTTGCAAGTGCTGACAGAGGCTGATGCGGACGGGTTTGCTAGGGGAACGGCCATGAACTGCAGAAGGATGAACCACTCGTGCAGGGCCACTCCCTGGTGAAGCCAGACATCGCGTAACACCGGAAGTGAGGCTAGCGAACACGCCTGTCTCCACCTGAAGCCAGAGTGACGTCCTTGTGGTAGCGCCATGAACGGGTCAACGTAGAACCGAGGCGATACGCAGGTGGGGGGTGGCGCTTCCTGCCGGGCGCCAGTGTCACCGGGGAAAGGCTGACCCCACTCCACTGCCGCATCCGACGCCGTACGCGGGCTGGCAGCCAGCCGGTAGCCAGTATCCACATCGTATCCGGCACACGAGGTCCGGGGGCCCAACAATGCGATGTCCTGGCGAGGGCTTGGCATGTGGCTACGCCGAGAAAAACAACCACCTGTCCGCTGAGGGCTGAACCACGCGATACGGGCTGCTCATACGGCGTGGGCACACACCATGGTGCGTGGTGCCACCCCGGTCCACCACATGCCACGCTGCCCCTGCGGAGGACGGATGCGACCGGAGCTGGGGCAGGTAGACCGCCGCCGGCAGCCTTTCCGCGGGTCCGCGTGCTGACCTGCTGGGCTGGTCGACGCTGTTGCTCCCTGGTCACAATATCCTCGCACGAAACTATCTCTGCCTTTGATCGTGGGGGGGCGCAGCCAAGAGCCGCAGAGTCTTGTGAATGAACGGAGGGGGGTGCAGCCAGATGCCGCTGGACACAGATGTTGCTACTGGTGGGGATACTTTTTTGGTTGGACGGCTCGAAGGACAGATCCAGGGAGCGGGATGAACGACTGGGCCACAGAGCGAGATGATTGGCTGCAGAGGCACGTAGGCCGCACTGGTGGGGATACGCGCAGCGTCAAGGTTTTGATTCCTGAGCAAGTAATAACCCTCTAGAGCAGTCACTATTTAGGGGGCTCTTGAGAGTTGAAGGAGGGAGGAAATTGCAGGAGGGGGGGAGCGAGGAGGGCAGACGGATACTCATTCCACAAACGAATGCTCGAAATAAAACCCGTGATTTTTCACGACCGCCAGAGACCAAATCTGACCAGGCCTATCCTGGGTCCTGGACTTCTGTGCGAGTCCTCCGGGCCACGGCAGGGAGGATATCCACACCGACCCAAGGTTCAGCATGGGCATGGCTAAGGTTGGTGGTGGTGTATGCTTGCGGGTTTCCGACGACCCGAGATCCACGGTGTGGTGCGCACACGCACACAATGTAGCTGCCCAAAGCCTGCCCGTGATCGCAGATCGATGGAAATGACTGCACAAACGCATCGCCCAAACTGAACCCCATGGGGTCGGCCTCGGGGCTGCGTAGTCGGACTGATCTATGGATGTCACGCGCAGATGGCGGCGCGCATCATCGAACCGATCGAGTCGTGGACAGCCCTGCGAGCTGACCTGGGCCAAGGGCATCCTGGAAAGGCGAGGGCCCGATGAGAGTCTGAGAGGCGGAAATGGGGAGGGGAAGAAGCGGAAGTATGAAGGAGAACTGGGACATGAGGAAGAGGGGAAGGTGGAATGGTGATTCCGTGGATGCGGATGCGGATGTGGATGCATATGCGGAGGGGGAGGACGAAGAAATTGACGAGCGCCAGGGGGGGGGCGAAATCGGCAGAGCTACAGCTCTCGAGCAGCAGGACAATCCCACCAACCCTTTAGGTCGTGAGCCCTCTAACGAGCTCGTTCTGCTAACCCCTTCTTCCCCTTTGGGGACGGGCTTCCCTCTCCCTTTACGTATCTCCTTCCGCTCCTCGAGAGGTGTCAGAGGGTCCCTTTTGGCCCCAGGTGGCTCCAAGAGGGCCTCAGAGCAAAGACGGCCTTCGAGATCGCCCAACATATCCCCCAAGATGGTTCAACGTAGCCGCCGTATGCCTCCACGAGTCCTCAAGATCGCCCCAGGACGGCCCCAAGTGCCCTCCGAGCCTCCCAAAGAAGCCTCCAAGGCCAACATCCCTTGAACCAATGTGCTTTTCATTGTTGTGTGCCTTCTCGCCTTTTTGCTTCCGATGCGCTCTAGGCCTCAAGACGGCTCCAGGATGGCGGCGCGCCTGCACGGCTGGACATCGCCGCCGCCCCCACACTCGCGGCCCCCGCGCTCGAGCAAGGCTGCCGACGACGACGACGACGACGACGACGGCGACAGACGACAGACGGCGGACGATGACAGACCACGGACGACGACGTTGGCGACAGACCACGGACGACTGACTACAGACGACGACAAGGGATGACGATGACGACAGACAACGACGACGGCCAGGACGACCCTCAAGGCGACGACGACTGGAAGGACTACCAGGACGACAGCGACGGGGACGACTGCGGCTGACGGTGACGACGGCGACGGCCACGACAACGAGGACGCAAACGGCGACGACTCGAATCTGAGAAACCAACCTGCACCGGTATACGAGCATGTAAAACCGAACCTGCAACATCGAACACACAAACACACTGTTGAAAGCCGAGAATCGAAAACCGAACCTGTAAAACCAGACCTAAAAACATCACAACCGAACCTACGTTTCCGAAGCAACCAGTTCCGAACCTTTTATGCCCCGTCCTAAATCACATTGCTAAGGCAAACTCTCTGAATCTGGTCAAGAAGACATCACATTGCTATTTATCAGGCGCCAGTAAGAGCAGCGCACAGAACAACGGTCTTAGTCAGGCTGGCGAGACTTCACCGAGTCTGCTGGGTCATGCATGCTCGACCCACCGGATGGGAATCATCATGCAATCTAGCACGAAACAAGAATAGCGTGATGTTGCCAAAACGAATTGCCAGGGAGCAGGGGCGGAGGGAATGGAGGGAAGAGCAGCGCTCCTTGCCCTGGGTTGGTGTACAACGCGGAACCTGCTCTGGAACAGGAGCATACCGTGGACGGATCTGTCGATTTCCCGTCCTTGTACTGTGCCGCAACAGCCGCGCTGTCTATAAACGTATCCACCCCGAATGCCTCTGTATACGAAACGACACCCAATGTGTCCAGAGACGCCTGTGGCTAGAAAAGGAGAACGGTGTTTGGCACAGGTCCCAGACGTTGCTCTTCTAGAAGCAGGTCGACTTGGCCCTCCGAGCCCTGACCCCCCCGTGCAAGACAGCGGGCCTCGCCCCCGGGCGTCGGCTCTGGTGGAGCCGCACCTCATGCAGCTGTCCTTGCTGGCGAAGACCAGGAACTGGCAGCTTGGGCACGTCCAGTCGCCCGGCTTCCCGCCCCACTGGCAGCCGCTTGCTCTCTTGGGTGAGCCCTCATGGGGGCCTGGGGACCTCCGCGGCCCCATCACAAACGTGACCTCGACCAGAGTTCGCCCAGCTCTCGACCACCCCGCTTCACCCTCTTGTCAGAATTGCGCCCCCCCCCCCCCCGGCGCTGGAGGCGCCCATTTTCATCGAGGAGCGCGCGAGAGGCGGCGGGGGCCGAGCACCGGTACGCAGGAGCTGCACCCTCCCGTTGCCCAGGCCCCTAGGGGGGAAGGGCGACGCATACTTACGTCCTCCTCCTCCTCCTCCTCCTCGTCCTCCTTCTACTCTTCCTCCTCCTCCTCCTCCCCCTCCACCTCCACTTTCCCCTCCCCCTCCCTCTCCTCCTCCTCCTCCTCCTCCTCCTCCTCCTCCTCCTCCTCCTCCCCAGAAACGCACGGAATTGCGGGACCCCGCGAGGCTCCCAGGCGGGACCGCGCAGAGACCGAGGGGCCCCGAAGGGCAGGGGGTCCCCGGGGCCGCTACTCGCCGCTCCGGGAGAGGCCCTCCCCCAGGGGCACCTGGGAGCGTCCGAGGACTGCCTGGGGAGGCCCAAAACGTACTCTCAGGTCGGGCCCGTCCTCCAACTGGCGGGTTCTTGAGGAAGGATAAAAAACAAGTGCTCCACACCTTTTTTGATTCATCACAGAAAACAGCCGAAACGACGTCCCCGTACTACTGTTTGAATATTTGTTTGATATTCCTCCTGCAGAGGGACACGCCCGACTTGAATGTCCTCCCAGGACGGCGTGTCCCCAGCGAGGCGTCGCGGCGGCCACGGCTCCCGCCACGGTGGGCGCCACAGCGCAGCCGCTGGGCGCCCCGAGGTGGGTCCCGAGGCACCCTCTCCGGGGTGCGTCTGCCCTGGGGCGCGCCTGGCCTGCCCCCGAGATTGCCCAGGATGGAGCGCTGGCCCCGATGGGGGCAAGCCACGAGCCACCACGAGCCACGAAAATAGAGGCCTCCCAGATGGGGTCGGAGTGGATGGGGTCGAAGGATCGCGCCGCATCGCCGATGCATCGGCGATGCATCGGCGATGCATCGGCGATGCATCGGCTATGCACCGGCGATGCATCGGCGGCGTCGGCGATGCATCGGCGCCGTCGGCGTGTAGCAAGTCGGGCTCCACATCGAGCCGCATCGGCGATGCATCGCCGATGCATCGGCGATGCGGCGCGATCCTCCGACCCCATCTACTCGGACCCCGACTAGGAGGCCTAGAGAAATAAATAAGGGGCTCTGCCCGGGACAGGGCGACGGCCGGGGGAGAGGACCCGCCAGGGAGGCCAGGTGAGGGGCCGGAGAGAGGGGGGCGGACTACAGTAGGGGCTCGACCACCAGAAACCTTCCACAAGAAACCCAACCCTGGGACCCCAGGGCGTCTATTGATTTGTTTCTTGTGGGGACGTCACGCTTTCCATCGCAAAGCCATCGAAACCCAAGAAACCCAGGGCACCCTGGAGGCAAGCAGGGTGTTCCTTGGCATGGGTCACCACTGTACGATCCACGAGACACGAACGAGTCACGAAACTAAAGCGGGGGCGCAGCGAAGGGGACACAATCTCGGGCAGGGCGAAGACAGCAAGGGCCGGCGCGCACACGAGAGCACGCTTCAGAGAGCACGCGGAGCTCTTCCGAGAGGGGCAGCGGGGCGTAATAGCAGAGGGTCTGAAGGTATGAACGGTCCGGAGATGACCAGGCCAACACCGAGCGGGGGGATCGACTCCCGATCACCATGCTACCCCCTCAGAGGCCCCAGCTTCCAAGCTTGCGTTTAGTTCTGACCGCTGAGGCCGCCATTCTCTGCTCACGTGCGGGGGCGGGACTGGGAGGACACGGAAGTGTCCTTGCTTAGAAGGCTCAGTCTACCGTGCAAGACGCAGGTGGAAAACGCAACGAGCACAGTGGAAGCAGTGGTGCAATATTCACGGCGTTCCCGCCCCTCTAAGGGACAGATGGGGGGCCCAAGCACAATCAGAGAAACCTCCTACAGGACGCAGAACGCCTCTAAGCCAGCTGATGATTTACGTTGCCTCCGGGTCTGTTGGAATGCTGGGCGATGGGCGGCCGTTGGACCTCGGCCATCGCCTCGTGCCGAGTAGGCTGGCTCAGCCAAGCACGCAAAAGCACGAGTGGGGACGCAAGGGGAGGTTTGGGGGATGGGCAGGGAGGGAAGAGGGAGGAGAGGGAAGAGGGGGGGACGGGGGGAGGGGCAGGGGGAGGAGGGGCGGAGGGAGAGCGGGAAGCAAGAAGGCAAGATGAGGGGCAAAGGATCCCCCCAGAACTCCTCAACTGTCCTGTATTGTACTCCGCGGAAGAAATCGTCGATGCCGAACTCCCCTACCAACATGGCTCAGGAAGCCCAACCACGTTGGGCCGTCGAATCGCCTTGGGCGATCACCCCCTCCTGAGTGAGGCGTTCCGAGCCAAAAGGTGAGAGCCACTGGAAATACCGCCAACGCTCCTCCCAGAGGCTCTCAAGATCGAACGCCTGCTCTGCTTCTTCCCTAGGGATCTGGGCCCCTCTTCGCAACACGAACGATGGAGACGAAACCAGACGGAGAAGGTGAACAATGTCTGGACACCGTCCAACTCTTATACTGGCAGGCCCAGCTCGGGGAACAACCCGTCAAGAACTCCTCGACCGCTGCTGCCGAGGAGGAGGACGAGGAGGAGGAGGAGGAGGAGGAGGGGAAGGAGGAGGAGGAGCAGCAGGGTCCTTCGTCGGCGGGTGGCCAGGACACGGAGCCGACGGCGAGAGGACGCCCGACCATGCGCAACTTCCCCACTTAAGGCAGCACGTAACCCAAACCCGTCCCACCAGCCCACCCCTCGCTCCTCCGTCCTCCTTTTCCTCCTCGTCCTCCTCCTCCTCCCTCCTCCTCCTCCTCCTCCTCCTCCCTCCTCCTCCTCCTCCTCCTCCTCCTCCTCCTCCCTCATGTGTCCTTATGAATGAATCCCCCTGTCGCACTCCCTGACGTGTCGGTAGTGCGGGCCGGGCGTTTCGCTGGAGACTTCCTCACCATATATCATCCTGAAGCTCGAAATGTTCAACAGCTTCCTTCGAGGACGGAGGGCCGGGCCTTGTCAACATGTGGCTATCATCTTCGCGCCGCACCCGTTCGTCCCGCATCAGCTTCAAAAATGGAGAACGGCTCCTCGTCAATCTACGGCTGTCGCCGTAACGCCGCGCACATTCGGATTCAAAGTGCGCAGCAAGTCCAAACATGGAGGGCGGCTCCTTTTCAAAATGTGGCTCTCGATCTAGCGCCGCGCACATTAGTTGTTAAATTTGCAGCAGTTTCAAGTATGGAGGGCGGTTCCTTTTCAAAGTGCGGCTCTTGCTTTAGCGCAGCGCGCAATCGTCGCGCAATCGTCTTAATGTTTGCAGCGGTTTCGAGGATTTGCATGGCTGAAGTCCCAAGAATGGCGTTCTGGCGAAATTCAGGATTGACAGGACGCAGCAGTCACGTAGATTCACTGTTGAATTCTCACGGTGTTCTGGCACGGTTCAAGATCGTCAGGACGCTACAGTCTCGTTGATTCGCGGCGTTGAAGTCTCAAGAACTGCGATTTGGCACGATTGAGGATCCTCAGATGGATGTCTTCCGATGGGGCACTCCCCGCAATGAACATACATTCTTGTAGGATCCCATGGAAAGGAAACGTGGAGGGAAGGTGTATTGCAACATCGTTGAGGCGTCTTGGGTTTACACTGGTCCTTCTTCTCCTCCTCTTCCTCTTCCTCCTCCTCACCATCCGAAGGGGTTAAGCATGCCCTAGGCCAGCATGGAGCAGGAGAGGGGAATTCCCAAACTCCCCTCCGCCTACGCTTCTCCCTCCTCCGCCTAAGCCTCCTCCTCTTCCTCCTCCTCCTTTCTCATTCCTCTGGCGGGCCACGAGTCTGGCAAGCCCTGCGCTCTTCGCATCTTGACCGAGACAACGCAGCACCTCACCGGCTAGCACCGCTCAGCCCTGGGTCGGCCGATGCCTGGCCCTCTTCCCCTTGCTCCCCTGCTCGTCCCCCCCTCCCTCTGGCACGAACGAAATGGGTACGGAAAGAATTGGTACAATGCTCAACAGCGGTTCCAGTTCATTTTGAACAGGACTCGCTGTCGGTGTCGCCGCGGCCTGTGTACATTTGAGACAGAAGGCCGCCTGCCCAACAGCGGCCGCTGTTGGTTTGGGACAGCATTTGTTGTTGGGCATTGTAAGCCGATTTTTTCAGTACCAATTTCGGGCGTCCAAATGCCTCCCCCCCACCCTCGTTGGGGTTCGGGCCCCCCCTGGCCGGAGAGCGACGCGGCGCAAGAAAGCCGGAACTCCTTGGGGCCAGGCGGCGCGCCGCCGCTTCCGCGGACGCCGCCGCTCGACCTTCCGGCCCCGCACCTCATGCACGCGTCCTGCGTGGCGCGCGGCTGTGGCTTGCGGGAGGGGCCGTACAAAACGGGGGTGGGGGGCAGGGAGGAGAGAGGAGAGGCGCACCAGGTTCGCGCGCGGCACACAGCTGACATCCTACTGCTGCACGCCCATCGCGTCTGAATGCCTTCGATCTTCTTCGATCCGCCAGCTGAAGTGTCCTAGACGACGACCTTGATACCCGATGGCGCTTGCAGGATATAGTTCACCATTTGCGGCGCCATCGGGAACGGGGGCTTGGCACATAGGAAAAAGGACAGTGAGCAAGTGGAAGAGAACAAGGGAAAAGGCTGGGAAGAAGGTGGGGGAGAACCGGGATGAACAAAATCAGAAACACCAACGGAAGGCGCAAGGGAGTCGAAAGGATGGCATCGACGAATAACGGATCGGATTCGGAATTCCAGCCCGCGTTCTGGAACATAGGAAGTAATTACAGACTCACGCATTCATTTGGAGGAGAGCCGGGATAACGCTGGGGCGAGATCAAGGAGGAACGAAGACCACTTGCGCTGTCAGTTTAAGTCGAGCCGGAAAAAGGAGGAAGCATTGGAGAAGGGGGGGAACTGAGGATGACAAGGAAGAAAAAGAGGAGCAGGAGGACGAGGGGGGGTAGCAGGAGGAATGGATGGGCAAGGGGAGAGGAGGAATCATGGAGGGGGGGGAGGAGGGGGGGCCAGGGGAGAGGGAGGGTGGCGGAGGAGACGGAGGGGCAGGAGGGGGGCGGAACAGGCAAACGTGGGGTGCGTGGCGGATGCGGGGGGAGGCAGATGCGGATACCTCTTAAATCCCACCAGCCCTTTGGGCGTGAGTGGTTTAGAGAGCCCGCTCTGTTCTCAACCCCCCTTCTTCCCCTTCGGGGAGGGGTTTACCCCTCCCCCTACCCCCTCCCCCTGGGCCTGGAGAGGGCGCCCCCGGGCGGGCCCGCCCCGCGGGTCGTTGGAGGGGTCTTTTTCGACTCCTGGGAGGGCAAAAAAACGACACCCCTCACGAGGATTCCGGCCCCGACGGGGGGAGGCAGAAAAGTGCTCCCCTCTTCTTTGAAGCCAAAATCATTGATTTTACTACGGTTTTGGCCCCATTTTGGCCTTCTGAGGGGGCAGCGCTAATTAAAGCTCCCCTCTTCTTTCAAGCCAAAATCATTGATTTTACTAAGGTTTTGGCCCCATTTTGGCCTTCTGAGGGGGCAGCGCTAATTAAAGCTCCCCTCTTCTTTGATCGATTTCCTCCAAGATGGCCCCAAGAAGCGCCCAGGAGGCACCAAGAGGCCCCAAGATGGCCCCAAGAGGCCCCCAGGAGGCCCCCAAGAGGATCCCAAACGGCCCAAAGAGGCCCCCCCGAGGCACCCAAGACGCCGAAAAGCCCATCAGGACGACCCTCTACTCGCCTGGGCGTCGTTTCTGGACGGGCAGGAGGAGGGGCCCGACCGACTCACACCAGGACGAGGGGCCCGAACAACTCACACCACGAGAAGCCCGAACGACTCACACCAGGACGAAGAGCCCGAACGACTCACACCACGAAGAGCCCGAACGACTCACACCAGGAAGAAGGGCCCGAACGACTCACACCAGGACGAGAAACCCCAAACGACTCAAACCACGAGGAGCGCTTTCTCTCCCTCCTCCTCCGCCTCGTCCTTCTCCCGCTCCCACCACAAGGAGGATGTACAAGGAGGCGGGAGGAAGGAGGAACAGGGGAGATATGCGGGGGCAGGCGGAAACACGCCTGAAAAACACGACTGTCGGCATGCTTCGCTAGAGTTGCTGTTTTGAGATGGGCTGATGGGGATACGCGAAGCGTGAAGAATTGATAATCGTAACACGACGCCGCTAATACTTCCACTGCAGCTCGAGCTGCCGCTGCCACCACCACCACTACCACCACCACCACTAGTAGTAGTAGTAGTAGTAGTAGTAATAGTAGTAGTAGTAGTAGTCGTAGTCGTAGTAGTAGTAGTAGTAGTAGTAGTAGTAGTAGTAGTAGTAGTAGTAGTAGTAGTAGTAGTATAGTCGTAGTAGTAGTAGTAGTAGTAGTAGTAGTAGTAGTAGTAGTAGTAGTAGTAGTCGTAGTAGTAGTAGTAGTAGTAGTAGTAGTAGTAGTCGTAGTAGTATTATTATTAGTAGTAGTCGTAGTAGTAGTAGTAGTAGTAGTAGAAGTAGTAGTAGTAGTAGTACTAGGAGTAGTAGTAGTAGTAGTAGTAGTAGTAGTAGTAGTAGTTGTAGTAGTACTACTACTACGCCTACTACGCGTACTGAAGCTTTTGAAGATTTTGAAACGACTGGAGCTTCTGAAACTTTTGACACTTTTGAAAATTTTGAAACTTCTGAATTTTTTGATCATTTTGAAACTTTCGGAACTTTTGGAAGTATTGAATCTTCTGCTACTTTTGAATATTTTGAATATTCTGGAGCCTTTGGAACATTTGATACTTTTGAAACTTCTGATACTTTTGAACGCTTCACAGTTTCAAAAATTCCAAAAGTATCAAAAGTTTCAAACGCATCAGAAATATCATAATTCTTAAGAAGTCTCAAAAATTTCAAAAAAAATCAAAGGTGTCAAAAGTTTGAAAAGTTTCGGGGAACCGAAAATCTACGTACCATCCGATACAAGACCCAGAAATCACATGCAACCCGGAAGTTTCAAGACTTCTGAAGCTTTTGAAACTCTTGCAACTATTGGAACTTTTGAAAAGTGTGATATTTTTGAAAGTTTTAATTTATTGTATTGTATATTAGATGCAACTATCAAAAATTGCAATTATATTAATATAGTAGTATGAATAGTATATATATACTATATAGTATATATACGTACTCATTATGTATTACCTACTACTATATTACACAAACTAGTATATATATATGTATACAACATTTGTAGTTGTATATACTATATATATATCAAACGACACTATATATTATACTTAGAAATTGTTATATATAATTGTTTATAAATTTATAATATATATACGTATGTCTATGTATTATATATAAGTGTATAATATATAATATTAAATCAAGACAAGTATAACATAGAAGCGCGTTTTCTGAAGTCTTCGGTTTTCGCGAAAAAAACAGCAACAGCTTTCTGTGCGCAACTAAGAAATACAGAAGTGACTATCGCTTTTAGAGTTTTTCATTGCGTGGTGCTATAGATATCGCACATTTGCCGGGCTTGCATAGAAACATGTTTGCCGATATTTCAGAATTTCCATTAAAAACAACAACTTTCAATGCAAAACTAAGAAATGCACCCAAATTCCACGAACATATAATGGCCACCCGCTCCTCTAATCGCGCCGCCCCCGCGCGACGCGCGGGCTACCCGCTCGCGCGTCAAGCTTCGCCGGCCTTCTGCTTCTTCGCGCCCGAGGTGCGCCTCTCACCGCCGCCGCCGCTGCGCTTGTCCCCGCCGCGGGTCTCGAGCTTCTTGGCCTTCATCTTCGCGGTCAGCTCCTCGGCCTTGATGTTCGCGAAGCCAACGAGCGCATCGGCGTAACCTGAGGGCGCCGCCTCCCCGTCGGCGGGCACGTGGAACAGGAGCGCATCCTTCTCCTCGTCGAACTTCCCAATCACCTCGGGGAACCGCTTCGCCACGGCGCGGAAGAAGTGCACGCTGAACTTCTCCTCCTTGCCCAGCTCCTTCTCGGAGAAGAGGCTCCACGATGCGCGAGACGAGACTTCGAACTGGTCGTCGGGGCCATCCTTCACCGTGGCGCCCTTCAGCAAGATGCGCCTGGCCGCGTCGCTGTCGAGAAGCGCGGACTCCTGCGCGCGCGGCTCCAAATTGAAGTCCGCGCGCCGCTGCTCCTTCCCGGGCTCGGGGGCGTCGCCGTCGCCGCGGAAACCCTCGGGCGCGGCGTTGAAGACCTCGAGCAGGCCGCGTGCGCAGTGGACCTGCTCCTCCGCGATCAGAAGCGGCGCCGCCGCCGCCTCGACCGCCTCTTGGGAATCGAAAACTTGTCAGGTCAGTGCCCCTGCCCCTCCTCACCCCCCTTCCTTCCTCGCCCCTCTCGAGGGGGGGGGGGGGGGGGGGGGGGGGGGCGCTGACCTGACCAGTTTTCCCTTCCCGAGCCTCGCCGTCGCGCCACATCATGTCCCAGTGGAAGATCATCGCCGAAAAGGATTCCGAGCTTCCACGGCGCTGCCCCAGCCTCGGCAGCAGCGGAGCTGTTGTTCTTGTCGCGGTTCTGCTTGACCTTGATCTGGAACCACGCGGCGTATGACAAGAACGCGCCCTTGGCCTTCGAGTCGAAGTCCATGTCGCAGTGGGCCTTCTTGAACGCCGCCGCCAACTTGCCCGCCGCCGCGTGCAGGTCGCGTTTCTGGGGCACGCCGATGTCGCGGACCGCGAGCGCCCACTCAGGCACGTACTTGTCGCCCTTCCAGGCCATGCGCACGCGCGTGGTCACCCCGTCAGGTAGCTCATGCTCCCAGCCCTGCTCGTCTGGAACGAACGGGAGCTTCGCTGCCTCCATGATCGCCGCATCCAAGTCCTCCTCCTCCAGGCTTGACGTGCTCGGCTCGAAGTACTTCATGGCGCGCTCCAAGCTCTTGAGCGCGTCTCCGAGGCCCAGGTGCACCTGCAGAACCTCCGCGATCTCGAAATACTCGACCTTGGCAACGATATCCCCTACCGTATCCACCGCCTGATGTGGCTGAACGGGCTCCCCGGTCGTGAAGAGCAGCCGAGCCCGAATTTGGCGCCCATGGTCGCCTCGTAGGCCCTTGTGCATCTCGACGGCGGAAGTTGGGTGTGGATTCCCAATGGCGGCGGCGTTGACGGACGGCGCGTCAACGCCGCCGTGGCGGCCGACCGTCTGGGTCTCGTGATCAGAGCGCCCGCCCTGCAGGAGGCGGTTCGCCCACCCTGCGTTGGGCGTTTGCCCCGATGCCACGTCGTCGGTCTTCTTCGCGCCTGGCTTGTCCAGGAGCGCCAGTTCCTGCAAAATGTCGTAGGCCTCGTCGAAGATGAGGCCTTGGCCGAAGTAGAGGCGACCCTGCATGCCGAAACGGCCCGCCATCTTGATCTCTGCATCCGTGGCACCAGGCAGCTTCTCCTTCACAGCGTCGGCAGAGAGCGCGGGGAACTTGCCGCCCTTCTTGGTTAACTTCGCCTGTGCGAAATCACCCGCGCACCTCTCTTTGCAACCCTCCATGGCGCCGCCCGCGTGCGCCGCGGACCACGCGCCAGGGAACGCCGAGTACGACGTGTGCTCGCCCGCCGCCGCCTGTGGATGCTCGCCTGCCGCTTCATCGCCAGGCCCATCGGCGGGCTTTTCCGCCTTCTCTGCCAGCGCCTTGAGCTTCCAAATCATCTCGAGCCGCTTGGTCACTGCTGTGTCCACGGGCCTGATCAGCTTCTCGGCCATCTGCGTCAAGCGGGACTTCCCCGTCTGGGAGTGGTTCACGTTGAAGCACATCGCCGCGATGGGGTCGAACGAACCCCACAACTTGACGCGGGCCACGATGCAGAGAACAGGTGTCGTGGCCAACGCGCAACCGAAGATGGGAAACGCAGAATGCGCCATGCGCAAGCTCTCGATATGGATAGCCTCGTACCCTGCTTTCCCTGCGATGTACTCGCCATGCTTCGCCCACACGGCGTCCACCGTCTTCCCCGCGCTCAGGAGGAGATCGCTGTACTCTGCCATCGCACCTTAGCGCGCGGCGCGCGAACGAGCCCAGACAGGCGCGAGCTATCCTGCCAAGTATGGTCGCCTTGAGCCTGAACGGCGGCGAGCGAGACGAGAAGGGGGGGGGGCGGGCGGAAGTCAAGGAATATGGATGGACCCCCTCATGGGCCCCCTCATCAGGCGGCGCCGATGGAGCGGCGAGTCAAAATCTTGAAATCGAAGCCTCAGATGGTCTTCAAACTTTTGAAACGCTTGAAATTTTCAAAAGTTTCAAAAGTTTCACAAGTTTCAAACGTTTCAAAAGTTTCAAAAGTTTCAGACGTTTCAACAGTTTCAGAAGTTTCAAACGTTTCACAAGTTTTAAAACCGTCTGAGGCTTCGGTTTCAAGATTTTGACCCGCACGACGCCGAGCCCACTACAGGTTCGACTGCAACAACAATTACTACTACTATTACTTCTACTACTACTACTACTACTACTACTACTACCACTACTACTACTACTACTACTACTACTGCCACTACCACTACCACTACCACTAACCACTACCACTACCACTACTAGTACTACTGCTACTACTACTACTACTACTACAGCAGGTACTACAAGTACTAGTACTACTACTAGTACTGCTACTACTACTACTGCTACTACTACTACTACTACTACTACGGCGACTACTACCACTACCTCTGCTACTTCTACCACCATTTCTACCACTACTACGACTACGACGACTACTACTACGACTACTACTCCTACTACTACTCCCACTACTACTATTCCTAATACAACAACTACAACTACCCCTTCTACTACTACTACTACTACTACTCCTCCACCAACTACTACTACTACTACTACTACTACAACTTCTTCTACTACTACTACTACTACTACACTACTACTACTACTACTACTACTACTACTACTACGACTCCTGCTACGACTACTACTACAAATACTACTACTCCTACTACTACTAATACTCCTACTACTACTACTACTATTACTACTACTACTACTACTACTACCACTACTACTACCACTACTACTACCACTACTACTACGACTACGACTACGATGACGACGACGATTACTCCTACTACTACTACTACCACTACTACTACTACTACTACTACTACTACTACGATTCCTACTATTACTCCCACTACCACTACTACTACTAATAATAATAAAAAATACTACCAATACTACTACCAATACTACTACTACTACTACTACTACTACTATGACTACTACTACTACTACTACTACTACTACTACTGCTGCTACTACTACTACTACTACCACCACCACCTACCACCTACCACCTACCACCTACCACCTACCCCTTACCACCACCCACCACCTACCACCTACTACTACTACTACTGCTACTACTACTCCTTTTCCTTTTCCTTTTCCTTTTCCTACTCCTACTACGACTAAGACTACGAATGCTACTACTACTACTACTGCTACTACTACTACTACTACTACTATTACTACTACTACTACTACTACTACTACTACTACTACTACTACTACTACTACTGTTACTACTACTACTACACCGACTACGACTACGACTACGACTACGACTACGACTACGACTACGACTACGACTACGACTACGACTACAACTGCTACTACTGCTACTGCTACTGCTACTGCTACTACTACTACTACTACTACTACTACTACTACTACTACTACCACTATCACTACTACTGCTACTGCTACTGCTTCTGCTGCTACTATCACTACTACGACTAGCCTACTGGGGCTGAAGAAGACGCACCTCTGCCCGAGGCTGAGGGGCGGCTGGGTCGGTCGACGCCGCAATCGAAAGAATGCGCGGCGGGGCCCCGCGTCGAGGTGCGTGCTGAAGCCCTTGTAGACGCGGATGGCCGAGCCCCTGGAGGACTGGGCGACGATGGAGACGAACTCCAGTGCTCCGCGCGGCGCGGGGGCGCAAGGGGAACAAAAAGAAAGGAGGCCAAATCTAATGTGGCCAGCGTCGGCGTTCGCCACGCCTGGCGATGGTTCCCGACATCGCGAGCCCGCCCGCCGTATCCCATCCGCCTGTCGCGCGCCGCCCGCTGTTCTACCAGCCCACCCCCGCCAAGAAGGAGGCGGTCGGTTCCCCCGCGGGCGATCGCTCTCTCTGAATCCACGTGCCTCGTGGGCCAGGGCGCGGCTGCAGGGCGCCCTGAGCTCGAGGCCGCAGCTTGTCCCCGTGGGTTCCAGTTGTGGAGCCGCGCCCTCCGCGCCGCGCCGCCCGCGGTCTCCCCTCGAGGACGGGCTCAAGACGGCTCCTCCAGCGACCGGCCGCCGACTCCGCAGGGGGGCGGCATGGTCGCTTCAAGCTCCAGGTCACGGCGAGCGGCGCGCTGGGAACGGACCCCGCGCCGTGGGCGCGCCTGGCTGCCGACCTGGGCGCAGGCGCCCGAGCTGACGGCTCGCGAGCACCGGCTCTCGCAGTCGCAGGCGCGGCGTCGGCGTTCGCCAACGCTGGGCCACTTCCGCTGGCCCCGCAGGATCGTGGGGCCCCGCTGGCAATCGGGCCCTCGCCCCGCCAAGGCGCATCGGACACTGGCGCCCCCTGCTTGGTGGGGGGCGGTTGCGGCGGCCGGCTCAGCAGACGGCCGGGCTGTGCCACGTCGACTTTTGGCGGGTGCATGCCACGTGGGTTGACGCCCCTGGCCCTCTCGGCGGCCTGCCGCTGAGGCATCGCTGTCCTCTGACCTCTGACTCTGCCGCATGCGCGATGCGCCCCTGAGCGATGCGCTGTCGCGCGAATTCGTTGCGCGGAGCATTGCGCCCAGAGATCGGGCCCGATCGATGGGCAGGAATAGCGGGGTCGCCTGGTCTGGCGAGGCGCATCGAAGACCCAGACGCACCGCTGCCGGCCCTGCGTCGATCCGACTGCTTGTGCTTGTTTGGATACGCCCCCTCTCGGATCGACGCCCGCCATCGGTCGTCGCCGCCCCACTGTTTTGCAACTGGCCCGAAACCCTGCCCAGCTGAGCGACGCCTCATTATGTTGAGATTGTTGGGCGCGTGGCTCCAGTCAGGTCTCTGCCCGCGAAGGGCAAGGTGCTCTGATTCGTCGGGGTCGAGGAAGTCCGGGGCAGCGGCCTCGATGGCCGCGCGAACGCATCCGCGGTCGAAGTCTTGCCCGGCCAAGTCTTCCTCTGCGGGGGCAAGGCGCCTAAAGTGCGTGGACGGCGTCGGCGCCCTTGCCGTCGCCGTCGGCTGGTCGAAGCCACCCGGCGGGCGCGGGAGTTGCGTCGCCCCGGCGCGGCGCGCGCAGGGGCGAGGCGTTTAATCTTGGCGGCGTGCGCGGGCGCCCATTCCAGCGCCGTCAACTGGTTAATCTGGTTCGCGCGCGCCTTCTCGCGCTCGGCCCCTAACTTTGACGGCCCCTTTGTGTCGGGATTGAGAAGCGCCGCGTGGAAGTGGCCAACTGCGCGTGACCGTCGGCGTCGGTTCTCACCGACGTAGCGGCGCCAGGTATCCCCGGCGCAGAAGCGGCATCGCTGTTGCGCAGCTCAAGTTCGCAGTCGGCCGGCGACTTCGAGCGCCCCTCATTGGCCGCCCTCGGTCCACGAAGGAGCTCGTTGGCAAGGGGCGCGAGAGGCGTCGCATTGCCGCCAGTGATTTGCCCCCGGCAGCGTTTCCAGGACTTTTGCCCCCGGCGGCTGGAGCCCGCGGGCGCAAGCGGCGCCGGCGGCCACAATGAAGCGTTTCCGCTTGCGCCAGACACGGCGGGCCCATGAATCCCGCGAGATGCGTTGAGCTCGCGCCGCGTCGCCTCGTCTCGGTTAGCCAGCGCCTCGCCCTCCTCGCGCTCGCGTTCGACGCCCTCCTCTGCCAGAGGAGGCGCCCGTGGGGGAAGCGACGGGGGCGCTTGCCCGATGCTCGTCATCTTTGGTGCCCGGGTGCGCTGGTCTAGCACGGGAACGGCGTCGCCGCGGGGCGGTTGGGTCTCCGCGGCCGCGCCGACAAATTCAGCGCCGTCTTTCGAGGCCGACTAGGGCGAGACCCCGCGTCGGCTTTCGGCGCCGCAGGGTCGCTTTCTGTATGGCGCGGGCACAGCGTGCTCTTCCACTGCCTCTTGCCTGCCCCTCTCGCGCGCTCGCCCCCCTGGGGCCCTCCCGGCGCGGCGGCGCCTGGTGGCCAGGAGAGGCCCCCGATGCCGCGGGCGGGCGCGGGCGCGGGGCGCGCGCGCGATGCGCCATCTCGCAATGCGAAGTGCTCGCAGCGCTCGCCATTGACCCCGACGACCTTCAGGAACGCCCCCGGCAATGGAGACGAATCATCTTTTCGGCGCCCGCGCTGAAGGGCCGGGGCCGCGCCGACGGCGGAAAACAACATTTTGTCCGCGGCGCCCGCGGCGCGACGACGACGACGACGACGACTGCGGCTGCTACTGCGAACGCGACGCTAGCGCGGCCGCGGCTGCAGCTGCGAATCGTAGATTGCGAGCGGCGCCCTCGGCGAAGAACGCGCCGATCTATACTGCGATCCATTCCCAAATGCGCTCAAAATCCGGCGCGCGCACAGGGCGGCCAGGGGGCGGCGATTCGCCCAGAGAAAGAATCCCCCGAGATACCCAGCGCGGCGAGCGTTCTCGGGGGCGTGATCTCCGCCGCGACGACGACTGCAACTTCGACTTTGGTCGCGATTGCACTCGCGGTTGCAATCGCAAGCACAGACGCGACCGCAATCGCGATTGCAGTCGCAAGCACGGATGCCCCTTGACATCCCCGTGAGAAGATGCTCGGAAATCCTCTTGCGCACAGGTCGTCCACAAGTGATTATTACCTGGGAGAAATGGCCCCCGGACCTCGCCCAGCCCGCCCTGCGATAGAAGGGGGTTCTCCGCTGCGACGACGATTCAGACGCCCCCTGTCGCCTTGCCACCCGTCGGCCCATCGGCGGCGGGAGGGGCGCCCCTGTCGGGCAGCCTCGCGGGCTGGCGCGCCTCTCTCCTGGGCGCCTTCTTCTTCTTCTTCTGCTTCTATCAGTCGGCGCTCGCACTCCTGCCCGACCCACCGCGAGGGTCGCGAAGGGGGGCGGAGGCTGTGCCATTGCGTATCTGGCAGAGATGGAATGGCGCATCCCGCAGCTCAGGCCTTGCGACATGCCCATTCATCATATCAGCACGCCGCGCCGCAATCTAGCAATGGCGCATTGGGCGCTGCTCGGACAGAATAACACCAACCGAGCCGTCGGGGCAAATGCGGCCGGCGCGCCTCGGCCGCTCGTCCAACGCTGGGTTTGAATCGGACCTGGCTGGCCGCCGCATCGTCGTCGGCGATGATCAGCTCGGCCCTAAGTCTGCCAGCAAAGTATCCGATGTTCTCAATGACCTCGGCTGGCGCATGCAGCGGCGCATTCCATGGGGCGGCCGTCTAGTTTTGCCGGCGCCGGCTTCCGCCCGCGCACCTGCCTTCACTGGCCCCCCCCCCCCGCGCTGTGCGAGGGCGCCGGGTGCCAATCCCGCCGTCGGGAACAACGTCGCGCGCGCGTCGCAGCATTGGTAAAGACTCTACCCGTAGGCACGTGTCCAAAACCTCTATCTCGCACCCCGTGGAAGAATGCGAGACCACCGCTTGCTTCTCGCAGATGCGCTTGATCGGGAAGAAGGCCCTCGGCCCAATCAGGGCCTCATGGCCGCCTGTCGTGGACGCGCTGGTCCGAGAGCAATCAGAAAACTGCGCGTCTGTGTGGTGTCCTACCGAATGATCTTGAAGATCGCCCCCCATTATAGCCCTCCAGGATATAATCTTCCTGATGGTGAAGATGAGATATCAGTATGTGCAGCCAGCTGTCGCGCGCTGCTCCAGTCAGTTACCAGCTAGCCAGCATGAGCACCGAATGGAGGACGTCGAAGCGACGTCATCTTGCGAGATGCGGGAACTTCATCGAGACACCGGCAGCAGATGTTGCCAATGTCCCTGGCGTTTCGAAGCATTCGGCTTCAAGGTTGTCGTCGACAAATCCAGGCGAGGGCGCCTTGTGTAAAGCCGCGATGACGGTGTTGGCGCATTCCGAGGAGCAGTTAACACACTCGCCAGTGACTGTCAACATGTCGCAACGACAACCTTTAATCGGAGGTGGGGTACCCCCCCGCTTTCGGCGCGGGGGCTTAAAGGCATGTGTCTCGATGTGACGGAAGGGGGTGATAAGCGCCAACCATCGCATGCGCAGTCCCCTCCGCAGCTTCGCCATGCCCAGAGTCATACTCATCTTGGGGGTTGATCGCGGCCTGGATATGCTCCAAGCGTTCCTCGGCATCCTCCTCTAATCCTCAACTCCACTGACAGCCGCGCCCAAAGAAACGCCCTAGAGGCATTGGAAGGTCGAGGGAAATACCAGCATTAACGACGCTGCCCCAAACTTTATGAGGGTTCGCTGTCTCACCTGCATCTTCAAGTCGCCAGCATAAGCAAACCGGGTAAGGCCGAGCTTTTGGCAAAGATAAATCGGTTCCCACCCTTCGATCAAACCCAAGCCTGCAGCAGACACCGCTACCTGACAATGGCGTAGATCCGAAGCTCCTGACTCTGATCGTGTGTAAAGAATATGTTCAGAAGGGGGGTGTCAAAATGGGTTTTCTTCTTTTCGTTTTTTTGAATAATAATATCAATAGCCTGGTGAGGAAGGAATTCGAGCAAGGATGTGATCGCCCTTCCCCTCCCCAGTCAGGGCCCTCGTGCGAGTTCCTTGGGCAGTGGCCCTCTTCCCTCGCGGTTTTACATATCCTTGCCGGACTCCGTCCTGAGTAATGCGTTCCCAAGGCGGCCCTTGGGGCAGGGGACGCTAGCTCTCGGCGTAGCCCCCGGGCCGCACGGAGCGCGAACCCCCTTTTTTCACTTTGCCAACTGAGTCAGCCAACTGATCCAGACTAGAGGCTCTTTCGGAATTTGTTCCTGTTCATCCCCTCATGGCCTCCAATTTCTCCTTTCCGCCTCCTCTCCCCCCCTCCGACTCCTCCTCCTCCTCCTCCCCTTCCTCCTTCTCCCCCATGCCCTCCCTCGTCGGGCAGCCGTCGGGCGTCCTTGCTGCCGAAGACAAGGAACTGGCACTGCGGGCATGTCCAGTCGCCGGGCTTGCCGCC